AATTTAATTTAATTTAATTCAATTCAATTTATTTTAATTTATTTTAATTTAATTTAATTTAGTTTAACTTAATATAATTTAACTTAATTTAGAGAGGTTTTTCGAACAGTAGTGAATTGCAACAACAAAATTTTATTTTTAATGAATTGAATTTTGTTAATTTTGGCCTATTTTAGAGCTATTTCGAGTATTGCCAAATATCTTGGTTCAATTCTTAATGCTTGCAGTCTCAAAAAAAATCTTACGAATAATTAAATGTAGAAAATAATTCCAAAAAGACTATTGATGATGGGTATTTGGAGAATCTCGAAACTGTTGTGTGATCAATTAAAAATTAAATAATATTTAAAATAATTTTTTAAAAATAATAAAAAATTTTGTTGTTGCTTTTTACCACTGTTCGGACACAATTGTTTCTATTGAGAAAAATAGTCACTTTCATCATAAATGACTTTAAAAATGAAATTTAAATTAATTTATTTTGAAATAACTTAATTTAATTAATATGTTTTAATTTAGTGATTCGAATCAATGTTACTATTAAATGAATTTTTAAATTTTATTAAGAGTATTCTACACATTTCAGTCCTTTCCACTTTTTAATATTTTTTATTAATTCAAATCCTTTTAGTTTTGTTATAAATATTATATGGTTTATCTTTGATTTTCAAACATTAAAATTTTTTTTTTTTTCAACTTACGGGGTTTCGATAGATAACAGTCCTGACAATACACAGATTTCACAATAAATAATAATAAAATAAACCGGCACATATTCCTTTAGTTTCGATGAGTGGAGTTATATTTTTCAAAATTTAGAACCTTAAACCATCACGGCCTGCAAGCAGAATTGAACTAAAATATTCACAAAATGCTTTAAAAGGCGCATGCGCGAAGTTGTTGAAAAAAGCCTCAGTTTTCCAAATTTCGTTTTTCGTATGCGAAACTTGATTAAAATCTGCAAAACCGCATGAGATTGGAAAATGTCGCAATTGTTCAAATCGCATGAGCCGAAAGCAATAAAAAATTGTATAAACAGAAGCGTTAGCGGCCACTGTTGCTACTTTTAAACTTGTAAGTTAGTGGGGCAGCAACAACCACAACAACAACAACAACAACAATAACAACATCAGCTGAAAGAAAAGCGAATTTGATTCATAGCACAACATGTGCGCGATTTCATCATCGAAAGCAGAACGGCAACTTCGACTCCAAGTTTCCAGCGGACGCAACAATTGCATTCGCACATTTCTGCACTTGCAAGTGCAATCGGCGCCGCATTTGCAGCATGAAACCCATGAGCTAGTGGAAATCGTCGGTGCATTACCACAAGCGTCAAGTCTTAAGATACCTGAAATTGCTTCACAGCAACAGTTGCACATTGGATAAGTATTGCAACACAAAATTACACAGTTTATGGGTAACTTTATTCAGGCGACTTTGTTGTGGCAACCAAGCATTCAACATTCATTGTTGACTGTTGATTGTTTACCTATGAAGTTTCAATTTGGAGTGAAGATTGAACTCCATAAAGTGCAAACCATTTAGTATAATTAATGCAATAAACGCGAAGCAACTGAAAGAAATTTCAATTGATTAAACCGGCTCGTGCTGAGTTAAACTATCTGCACTAATGCAGAGTGTAAGTCGTCAGACTTACACTGCGGAGATCTTACCGAATCGTGAGTCATGATTGCGAACCGCTGAGAAAACTATTGAAATGCAATCTTTTAATGTGGAAAATGCACGAAATGGAAGTGTGAAAAGAAATGATATTATGGCAATGTTAATTAACTTTATTACACATTTATAATCCATTGGTTGGCGTGAATGGAAACGAGAATGTTCCGAAAACGTATGGTTTCCATTTCAATTAACATTTTGCAATTTCAGAGTATATTTGCAAAATGCATAATGCAAGAAGATGTGCACTTTTCAGTAAATGCAAAATAATAATATTGCAATTTTTATATATATGATTATTAGAAATCGAGATTTCCGAATATTTTTACTTAATGATTTGAAATAGTATTTAACAATGTAAATCCTCAACATTATTTACTAAATCCGGCTCTTTAAATTTTCTTAGTACTTAGTCTTCTTAACATACTTGCTCGTTGATATAGCCGCCAAATAAGTAAATAAACTGCAATCCAATAATTCATTTGAATTATTATACTATATTATTATAACTAAATGAACTCCTCTACTAAACAACAGTTTTTCTTGCAGTTTATGATTCTGAGGCAATTTTTGTTTATAGTTTTTACCTTTTTACATAGCTTTTTATTACCAGTGTGCCAGGTGTACGTAAAAATTATTCCAATTTTGTAATAAAACGAATTCAAGTTAAATTTTGAACTGGTTTGTAAGTTTGAACTCATTTTTAAAAAGTCACTTTTGGAAAACTCCCGTTTTCAGCTGAGTCCGAAAAATCATCTACATTTTAAATTCGAATTCTATTTGGACAATTGTTATAGCTAGTTTAAATAAATCAATCAATTAATGGCGTTAAAAGTTGACAACGAACGTCGTTTAAAAATAATAATTCCGGATAATTTTTACACAAAATGTGTTTGAAAAATAATGATATTTTAAAGAGAAATTTGTTTGTGATGTTATTGTTATTAAAAACAAAACTAACAAAATTATTAATTTTTAAAGTGAAATATAATATGACGCGTTTTATGCAGAAAAGAAATTATTTTTTAGTTAAAAGGGTTCAAACAGTAGTAAAAAAACAACAAAAAAAATTGTATTATTTAATTCATTGAAATTTAGCTGACCATACAACGCAAGACCATATACAAGTATATTTCCTAATATCACTGATGAGTTCTTGAGTACCTGTGATGAGAAAAAAAAGGAAAAAGGCAGCGTTTTGAATTTCTTGGAATATGCAATAGTTTCGTTATGAAAATATCGAAGGGCTTCACAGTTCTTAAAATTTATTTTTTTTTGAATATGTAATGGTTAAGCGATATTCGACTAAAATTAGGGAATATGAGTTTTTAAATTTCTGTTTTTAATTATTTATTAAGGAATTTATGTTTTATTTTACCTGTAGATGAAAAGCTACAATGTAAGACTGACTGTATTAAAACCATATTTTCGAAATGAATAATAAAAATTTTAGTCGTGAAGATCAGATTCCTTAAAATCTCATTTCAGTAATCTGAGAAGAACAAGAAGGTTAAATAAGTTTAGCTTTCAGAAAACTGAGTTTATGTAACTCCGAATATATATACACAATAATTCAGGAAAAAAAACACGAAAAAGCACTAAAGTGGTTGACAAATATTTTTGTCAAATTTATAATCAAGTTTACATTAAATGCCATTTTGAAAAGAAATGATTGGAACAGCTGAAAATAACATATTGAAATATAATGAAAGACACTGGGAAGAATTATGGTTGATAATAGGTATTCATTTATGTGGAAATTAGCTAGACTGGAAAACTTTAAAAAATAGATAATACGAACGACAGTAGGTACTTGTTGTTACAATCGCAGAGGATGTTATGTTCAAATATATGGGTTTTTTTCCATTTGAGCAAAATTGATTCCAGACCACTGGGTTAGATGTAGAAAAGCAAGGTTTGAAAACAATGCTTTGTAATTAAGTTTATTATGCGTTCGGTACATTTTTGAGTTCAGTACATTTATAATGCTGGATAAATGCTACATTCTGTATGAAACCTAAAATAGTGGTTCAGTTACAGTACAATGCCGAGATATTTAAGCTTGTTGGCACGCGAAAACGTAATATTATCAATTTCAAGATCGATTTATGAGTTACGTGAATATCGAATGCGATTCCACCGCAGCGATGCAATAGTAATAGTTCAGATCTTGAATGGATTGAGTTTGATTATCCAGGCGATATTGTAACTAAAAATGATCGTAATGTAAAATATAAGCTTATAAGAAATACGATAAGAGTAGAGTGATCCCAAAAAAAAATAAAGCTCATTATTGGCAGAAAAGCTTGCTAATTTCATGATAATAAATAAAAGTGCTCTTTAAATTCGCTAAAAGCCAGAGCTTTTAGTATACCTACTTAACAAAATTAAATGAACTTAACAAAATTAAATGAAAGTAATGATTAAATGCACTGCGGACATATCAAAACAAAGAATTTGCTTTTAATAACAATGCGAAGTAAAAAGAGGAGCTATCTGCAAGGAAAGCGATGCACTACAATGCTTCTGCGGATCGCATTTATGTTATAATGAAATCAATGCGATTGGTTTTCTGTGAAGCATGTTACGAGTATATATTTTTTAAAATTTGTTTGATGTTTTCTTAATAAAATTCATTTTTTATTGAATAATTTTTAATTTTTTTTTAATTGAGTCCATGACAAATTTCATTCAAACCCCCCACACAACATATTAAATCTACTGATATAATTACGGTGATTAATTAATAATGATTTATTTATCTGTTATTAAAACATATCAAGTATTTATTCAAAATAACTAGGGACTAAGGTGCTAGAAAAAATAAAAAGTCATCTAAACGAGAAGACTTGTAGATAGCGGAGTTGAGAAAGTGTCTCCCAACGCAAAAATTAATGCAGTCTCGGAGCATTCTCCTATTAAACGCTCGAAGCTTGATGTTTTATTTAAGCTTATGAGATTCTGGACCATATGTAAAATGAGTACACAGAGTGTTTGTATCATAGTGACAGAGTTCCAATCTTGCAGCTCTAGTCTATAGAGCTCAATAAGTGAGTGGAGGTCTGGATACTAATGTTAGATTGAATGAAAACACGTTCAAGTATTTTAACAAATTTTTTTAAAATTTATATCAACCCTACTCCCTACTGTTAGCATTTATTTAAATGTAAGATTATTAAAAAATTTATTTCAAATATTTTTAAATCAATTTAGTTTAATTTAGTCAAAACTATTAAGTAGTAAAATTGAAATATTTTTTGCTTATTTTATAATCTACTTAACGAATCAACTACATTGCAAACAGGCACCGCAATTAAAACATCAAAATTTTAACTACTTTGCCTTTCCTTAATTAAAAGTTTTCGAAAAAAAATATCTGTGAACTGGCTAATTTACGTAGAACTAAAGTAACTTTTATATTTTTTATTATCACATGAAAAATTATGAAATTAATTTTAACTGAACATGTTGCCAACGACGCTGATGAACTGCCAGGAGCAAACATGGCGCAAAGAGCAGTCTCGGCGGACCAAGTAATGCAAAAAGTGGAGTACCGAAAGAAGTCCGTTAAAGTGACATTCGCACATGCAGCATATGTAAGTAAAAATTGTGCTATTTTTTCTATTTTTTGGACTCGTTAAGCCATTCGGACCCAGCGAAACTTTTGAGTTTGCCAGCTGTTTCCGAAATAATTTTCCGCCAATGATTTCATATAATTTTGTTCTTTACTTTTTCCTTTTACGTGGCGCCCATTGTTGTGTGAGCATTTCAAGCTAAGTTGGTTCATGAATAATTTGCGAAGTTTTAAGAGTGGACAATTTTTCAGAAATTTGCGTTTTTATCCGGTTTCATTAAATCGGCTTAGAATGCCCAGCGAACACACATGTGTATTTCTACTCACACAAGTGCAGGGCAAGAAAAACTCTTCTGAATATTCATAATTGTGTTAACTGGGCGAGAGGACGAACGAAACGAATGTGTAAAAGTTTTGACCAAATTTACATATTTGAACCACAAAAAATCAACAAATTAATTATAATTCCACCACGTTCTATGAAGCTCTGAATGTTTGGATACAAATACTCGTATATAGAGATAAAAAAGTATTGTGTGAAATCTGTAGCAGTAGCAAGTATTCCATATAGTACATTGCAGTGACCGAATGTACAAAACAATGAATACGAAATAAAGTCGAATTTTGTTGCCATCCCGCCCATATATTTACACATAACACAATAATAAAAGGAAATATTAAATAAATGGTTTCCCCTCACTGCCTTGTAGCGAAGTAATTTAATTTGCAGCACACAAAAACTCATTTCATGGGTCAAAAACTACAATCTTCCATTCGAGGTTGGAAAAAGCAGAAACCTACCAAAAATTGATTATGGCCGGTTGTGGGGGGATAACGAAACAATTGCAGTTCACTGCTTCGCCCCAAATATCATCAAAATCCGATTAGATGCAATTCAACTCCACTTTGAGGTTTTTTCTACCGCATTGCCAAAGCATTTATTTGGCAAATTAATTCCTGAAAAGGTAAGTTGAATACGATTTGAAACAATGGAAAGGCCAGCACTGCATGTTGGAAATACCAAAGAAGTGAAGCCCTTAAAAAAAAAGAAAATTGTTTACGTTTTCGGAGATAATAATCACCATCATCTAAGACTTACCACAATTTGTGACAATTTCTTTTGTGGATTTGAGAATTAATTTTCGAATGTCCTTTTGTTCGAAGTGAAACTGTTTGGTTTGCTGACTTTTTCTTTTCTATTGTAACGATAACTCCCAAAAAGGACCAACACTGGTTGCGCTTTTGTTACGTTAGCCTTCTTACTCTTCCTTCTCGAGTTCCTATTTTGCATATATACGAGCAGCTCCAGCACATTATTTAAATAAACACGTGCGTTCAAACAAGTGTGAAAAGGGTTCAGATTCGAGTCCCAAATCTGGACTAGTGCCAACTGAATAGAGCAGAAAAGAAAAAACAAAGAGGATTTTATTTTGAGTTTCTTTACGATGAACTTACATTTATGGCGATTATGATGTTAATAATGATAAAACTGATTACATCGACTGCACTGTTTCTAATTTTTCCTTTCATTTTATACTAAACTTCTTTTCATTAATTTAAAGAAGCTTTAATTTTTTCAATACTACATACTTTGCAGTGTACAAAGTACGAACATAGCATATATTTGTTAAAAGGCTCTCATGCTCTCACAATGTTAAACTCCAGAAAGTTATTTATATCCATTGGAAAACTTAATATTTTTTTTTATTAATAAACGAATATATAGAAACACAAGAGGTTGTATATATCATAAATGTGGGCGGTGATTTGTTGAGCCATGAAGCGAGAAAAATCTTATGGAAGTGGGGGTTTATTTTTAATACATTTAAATGCTGAAATAGACAGAGTCTTGTGAGCGTATTCGATTTAAGTACATTCGATATTCTTCAATTTGATTACAAATATGATTTTATACTTAGACGGGTTTAGAAATGACCCATTTCTAAAAAAGCAAAGCAAATTTTTTTAAAAAAGTTTTGATTCCTTTTGCAAAGGCCTTTTTTCATTTAAAAT